AATTCACCTTGTCTAATTACAGATAATGTTTAGAACATGAATTCACCTTGTCTAGTTACAGATAATGTATAGAACATGAATTCACCTTGTCTAGTTACAGATAATGTATAGAACATGAATTCACCTTGTCTAGTTACAGATAATATATAGAATAGTTACACATTTTGGGCTAGAAGGTGCTAGTATGGTGCATACCTTTTAAACAATTCCATCGATAAGATACTTCAGGAAGTATTTACATATTTTAACACAGCCCTGATACATTTTGTACTTCAGGTTACTATTTAGAGGTGTTTACAGATTTTAACACAGTCCTGAGACATCTTATACTTCAGGTGAATGTTTAGAAGTGTTTACAGATTTTAACACAGCTCTGAGACACTTGAACTTCAGGTGACTGTTTAGAAGTTTTTACAAATTTTAACACAGGTCTAAGGCACTTTGTATTTTAGTTAAGTGTTTAAAAGTGCAATTATATAAAATTCATATACTTATACATGCATATTTGAATCTACAAATCAGGTTATTGATGGTGACCTACAGGAATTGCAGTTGTACATTCTGCAGTTAGCAGAGACAAGTCAGCCTCTATGTAACTGTCTTTCTGATCAAGCTTTATCTAGAGTAATTGGTGCTCTAAATTCTGTTCAACAAGGATTCCAGGATGTAGAGACATTTGTACAGGCTTCATTGACTACCACCATAAAGGAAGAAGAGAATGTAGCTACGCTGAAAGTATGCTGAGAATTTTATTTTCTTGTTACCAAATGGAGATAGTGATCATGTTTCTGTAATGAGAAAAAATTTTTTTCATAATATATAACTTGTTTTAAAGATAATAGTTCATGTTGTTTTTTGTATCATGGCTATAACTCGAAAAAAGTTTTGAAAAATATAATATTTTAGCTTTACTTTTGTTCATGTTTTTATTCTTTATACAGAATGAAATGCAGACATTAACCCAAGCTATTGATGCTGCTAAGCAACATGTTCATAATGTTGATGAGCTTAAAGAAGGGAGTGATGATCTCTCGGATCATTTGGAGGTATTACTTATTATTGTTACTTCTAGTGTAGAGACTTTCTGTCATACATTTTATGAACAGAATTATTGTTACTTCTAGTGTAGAGACTTTCTGTCATACATTATATGAACAGAATTATTGTTACTTCAAGTGTAGAGACTTTCTGTCATACATTATATGAACAGAATTATTGTTACTTCAGGTGTAGAGATTTTCTGTCATACATTATATGAACAGAATTACTGTTAGTTCTAGTTTAGAGATGTTTTGCCATACATAATATGAACAGAATTATTGTTACTTGTAATGTAGAGATTTTCTATCATACATTATGTAAACAGAATTATTGTTACTTCGAGTGTAGAGACTTTCTGTCATACATTATATTAACAGAATTATTGTTAGTTCTAGTTTAGAGATGTTTCGCCATACGTCATATGAACAGAATTATTGTTACTTGTAATGTAGAGACTTTCTATCATACATTATGTGAACAGAATTATTGTTACTTTTAGTGTAGAGATGTTCTGTCATACATTATCTGAACAAAATTATTGTTACTTCTAGTGTAGAGATATTCCGTCATACGTCATATGAACAGAATTATTGTTACTTGTAATGTAGAGACTTTTTGTCATACATTATATGAACAGAATTATTGTTACTTCTAGTGTAGAGATGTTCTGTCATACATTATCTGAACAGAATTATTGTAACTTCTAGTGTAGAGATGTTCTGTCATACATTATGTGAACAGAATTATTGTTACTTCTAGTTTTGAGACTTTCTTTCACAGATTATCTGAACAGAATTATTGTAACTTCTAGTGTAGAGATGTTTTGTCATACATTATGTGAACAAAATTACTGTTACTTCTAGTTTAGAGATGTTCTGTTATACATTAGTTTAAGTACAGAATTACTATTACTTCTAGTTTAGAGATATTCTGTTATACATTAGTTTAAGTACAGAATTACTATTACTTCTAGTTTAGAGATGTTCTGTTATACATTTGTTTAAGTACAGAATTACTGTTACTTCTAGTTTAGAGATGTTCTGTTATACATTAGTTGAAGTACAGAATTACTGTTACTTCTAGTTTAGAGATGTTCTGTTATACATGAGGTGAATAACAGAGGATAGATTACTTTTTCTTCATCTTTAATGATCAAATGGATAAATGGAATAAATAAACACTATTTATCATTAAAATAAATATTTGAGAAGTAGTTATTCTTATAGTATTCTGAAAACTACCTTTTTCCATGCAACATTGCATATGAAATAATTTATTTTTTTATTGTTTGAGTTTAATAATGAGTTGTTTATTATCTTTTTTTATTTTTCCATTTAAGAGATAACAAATCTTAAACATTGTTTAATTTTGAACAGAATCTAGCATCACAGCACTCTTTACACCAACATCAGTTAAGGAATTTAGAAAAATTGGTTCTCGAAAGTGGAGCCTGTAAACCTTCAGAGGTAGAAAACCTAAAGGAAGAACTGCAGAACCTGCAGGTGCAGGTAAGATGTTTTTATCACATACCAGGGTTAACTTAACAGAATAACTGCAAAACATTGTGTTTAAGTAAATAGTTAAATTGTTTCTTACATACCAGGGTTAACTTAACAGAATAACTGCAAAACATTGTGTTTAAGTAAATAGTTAAAGTGTTTCTTACATACCAGGGTTAACTTAACAGAATAACTACAAAACATTGTGTTTAAGTAAATAGTTAAAGTGTTTTTTACATACCAGGGTTAACTTAACAGAATAACTACAAAACACTGTGTTTAAGTAAATAGTTAAAGTGTTTCTGTAGAGGCTCTGTGACTGTTTAAGTTTTTCATCATTCATGTCATTTCCATTTTTGTTATTATCAACATAAGTAAGAAGTATGTTGAGCTGTTAAGTCAGAGTTGACCATACTTCAGATTTATAAAGTAATCTTGAAATGAAATATTCATTAATAGTTATTAATAACAGTTGCTGGTTCTTCTGACTGTCAAGTGACTCACCCTACCATTGGGTCAAAGTACAGTAACTCACTTTGACATTTTTTCATATACAAATGAAAATACGAATAACTAACTCAGCTCATAAAACATATATGATACAGTAATGTCTTAAAACTTAAATGTTTGTCATTTTCACGCAGTTACTATTTAAATGTTGCTGTAGGTGAGGGAAAGAAATAAGTATTCCATAAAAGACAAATTTTGTATTATTTTATAAACCTGTGTCTTTAACTTGCACCAAAATGGTTGTAATATTTCTAGATATTTAATATTGTATAAAGTTCTATAGAATGTTTAAAGTGCAATATGCATATTATTTTCCTCCTTTTTTTTTCACAGATAACCCATAAAGTTAAAAAGACCAAATGTAGAAGACAACTAGTTAAACAAATCAAACGTCAATTACATTTTCTGGAGCAGCAAGTTAAGCTTGGCAACATACGACTTGAAAGTCTAACATTTGTCAAAACTGTTACTGAACTTCAAGATGAACTAAAACACCACAAGGTGAGCTTCATGCTTAAAACTTTCTTTATCAATGTTTCCCTGCTGATGTTTCCTGAAACAATGCAATATAACCTTTCCCTGCTGGTGTTCTGTGAAACCTTTCATTGTTGGTGTTGTGTTTCATGAAACAGTCCAACATAACCTTTCACTACTGGTA